GGGCCTATGGGATGGTTGCGCGAACAATATGGCTCTCAATCCACATTTGTTTTGACATTACTTGCATCACGTCGATGGTGCACATACATCGCACCACATATATATATATACACATACACATGTTTTCGCGTAGACTGTACGACATATCGTTTCCGCACAATTCGACTACACACCCATCGACTCCGCCACATTGTGATTGCACCACACAGGTCGCAGTACATTTACTTTTCAACGCGCATTGCACATCATATATAGCACTACGTATAGTGCACCTCATACATCGCACCGCATTGGTTGCACCGTACACCATGCACTACACATATTGCCTCTTTTAAATGGCACCACATTAATTGAACCACAAAGACTGCGCCATATAGTATGCACGAATTATGTGACACCTCACCGGTTGCAAAACTTAAATCACATCCCTCTGCAGTCATCGCGCAGATTTCACCTCGTTTATTGCACCTCGCAGATGGCACCAAATAGGCTGCATCACAATTACAGTTCTACGTGTATTGCACCACGTATGTATCGCCACATATCGTGTAGAGCATACATGGCACAACTGATATGGAACAGCATCGATTGAACCACGTGGTTTGCAACATACATAGATTGTCCCACATGAATGTCACAACGCGTACTGCTAGAAACCCAATGTTCTGGGCACGCATTGGCTAACACCCGTTTCAGGCTTGTTGCGCGATCTCGCAAATTAAAGTGTTGCCTTTTTGTTGTTTGTTTTTTCCCTTTCCCCGGCCATGACATGCAAGCATGGAGGCATATGCAAGCATGGAGGCCACGGCCTTGGTGCAGGAGTGCATATGCACAACAGGGCGTGCCGTGACATGGTCGATCCGGGATGCGTCTCTGATGGAGTCTTCGGTACGTTGTGTGGTGCGTGTGTGCTTGTGCGAGCGTGTGCTTTCAATACTGCTCCTCAGGATTTCGCAGTCCACGGCAGTCCCATTCATCATTTTCAGCCACGGCGGTCTCAGCCATGATGTCAGGCAAATTTGTTTGGCATGCGATGTTCAGCTCTCCGCGCCGCGCTCCGCAGTTGCCTGTCGTGCGAGCTAGGGTACGAGGGTTCGCCGTGGACAGAGCGTATGTCGGACTGCACAGTGCTATCTCCCTCCCGCACACCCGGGGATCGGCGGCAGCCCTTCTACTTCTCCAAGAGCTCGCTGTTGAGCACAGGGGAGCTGGGCTCGCAGGCGCTGGCGCTGGCGCTTCCTTTTTCCTCTTTGCTTAATGTATTCCTCCTCTTCCTCTCCTCCTTCCGTCCTCCTCCCGTTCCTCACCTGGGCCCCGTGCCCCCCCCACCCCGCGGGCGCGCGCGCGGCCAACCTAGGATCCTAGAACCTACCCCTTCCTCTCCCTCCTTTCCTTTCTCCTCCTCCTCCTCCTTCTCCTCCTCCTCTTTCTCCTCCCCCTCCTCCTCCTCCTCCGTCTCCTCCTCCTCCTCCTCTTCCTCTTCCTCCTCCTCCTCCTCCTCCTCCTCCTCGTCCTCCTCCTCCTCCCCCTTCTCCTCCTCGTCCTCCTCCTCCTCCTCCTCCTCCTCCTCCTCGTCCTCCTCCTCCTCCTCCTCCTCTTCCGCCCCGTGGGAGGGGGCATGGCACCTGTTCTCATGGCGTCAGTGCCACGCACTCCACGCGGCACAGTGTCAGGAGCGTCAACCGCCAGTTGGGTGAGGTGCGATTGGCCGTTTCGTTTTGGAACCAAGTGGCTTGGCGTCTTCGCCTTGCCGCTGGTGGCGTCAGCAGCGCCCGTAGCACTGGAGTTGGTTCCCAGGCGCGGGGATCGCGCATTTGGTGGCCCGTAAATCCCATGGGACCTTGTGTCCACTCACCCTGGGGTACAAACCCAGTTGCGCCTGTTAGGTGCTTCGGCAGGGTTGAGGCCGTTTGAAGGCCCCCCTAAGCACCGGCCGTTGCGCTTAGGCTGCGAGTCGCCGGCGACGTGGTCACCCCGCTGTGCCCTGACTGGTTTGTGATTCAAGCCGCGTGTGTGTTGGGCGACATGCTCCCACATGCTCCTCCTCCTCTTCCTCCTCCTTCTTCTTCTTCTCCTCCTCCCCGTCCTCCTCCTCCTCCTCCTCGTCCTCCTCCTTCCTCCTCCTTCTCCTCCTCCCCCTCCTCCTTCTCCTCCCCCCCCTCCCGCTCCTCCCTCCGCCTCCGCCTCCCCCCCTTGTCCCCTCTCCCCTCGTCTGGCGCTGCGCGGCCCATCTGCGACACGCTACCCAGAGCTCTGCCAGCGGTTGCGGCCTCGCCCCCGGGTCGCCGCGCTCGCTCTCTCCGCCGCTTCTCTTCGTCTGCCCCCCGCGCTCTGCCCGCGGGCCGGGCGCCCTGCACCTCGCGTGCCTGGCCCCCTGCTGCACCTCTTTCGTCAGGAGGGAAAAAACACACAGACATAATTAATCGTCGATTCCTAGAAAATATGGGCAAAACAAGGGGAGGTGGGGGAGGAAGACAGAAACCCAGAAAATATAGGAACATATGGGGAATCTTTTTATTTGTGTGCATTTATTTGTGTGTCCCAGGGCCCCTTCACTTCGGGCTGTGCACCACCTCCTCCGAAGTCGGATGCTCTGTGGTTTTCCACCTTTTCAGGGGCAGCCGCAGGGGGGGGGACAGGCACAGGGGGGGGACCCATCGACCCCCAATCGCCCACTGATCGCCCAGAGCGGCCCCAGAGCTCCGACCCGTCCAGGGAGGTGCGGACTCGCTTCTCGGGGGGCTCCCGAGGGTCTATCGGCGATGTTTCGCCGCGTCCAGGTCGACGTTTTCCACCCTGTGTCTATCCCCTCCTATCGTGGCCCTTCAACTACGCGTTCCCCGGATGTCCTGGCCCCTTCCCGTGTGCCGTTGTTTCTTCAGAAGGGCTTGGTCCCAGGGCTCACTTCGTGTCGTTGGGCCTCTGGCTGTAGACCAGAGGGGTGTCGAGCAGGGGGCGTCGGATATCCCAAATGGTGTGGGGGATCATTCCACCCGGGACACCCTCACAAGACGAGGATGCCAGAGGCGTTGTTTTACGACGCCTGTTCCTGAACACGTTGTTCGCTCGAGACATCCTCAAACAACGCATCGTTGGGATGATATCGTTGGCGGGTTTGCAAATTTATGGAACCAGCGGACCTCCAACCTGAGACATCCTAACTCACATGGGACGGTATAACAGGGGCATTACGAAACCGTTCATCAAAATTGAAGATTTCGCTGCAGACGTCTTCAGAAAATAAACATTTCCAGTGAGCTTGCGAATTAGAGGTTTCGACGTATCATCGGGAACCTATAAGTTGCTATATTTATACATGTATCCATGCATACATATATAAGCTGTCAGGCAAGTGAGGCTTTCGCTACAGACATATTCAGAAAGTTGAGATTTGCAGAGACCTCGCGAACGCGTGCATCCCTCAAGACATTTGCTTTCGCCACAGAGATGCTCAAGACAGGGAGGCGTCGAAGGAGTGCTCCGTCCTCTGTTGGAGGTTATCTCGGAGGACCCCCGAGACGGCCGGAGGGGCACAAGACGCGGGTAGGCGCCAAGGCAGACAGGCCGCCTGCGACCCGGCCCTGGGCTGGCGGCTCTTGCCCGGATGTGGACGTTGAGGAATATTTCTAAAGAGGAGGAGGGCACGTGGGACAACAAGGGAAGGGTATCCTTGATCCTTGAGCCCTCGGAGGCTCATGGTCCGCTTAAATGGGGTGGAGGAAGAGGAAGGAGGAGTCGGAGGAGAAGGAGGAGGAGGAGGAGGAGAAAGACGGAGGAGGAGGGGCAGGAGGCAGGAGGAGGCCGAGGAGGAGCAGGAGGAGGAGGAAGAGGGACGAGAAAGGGGATAGAACGAGATGGCAACCGAAGCACAATCTTGTGGACGAGGGAGCGGACATTGCCTTTCGAGCGGACAAGGCGGAACCTTGCAGCTACGAGGGTGGGTGGCCTCCGCCGGGGGGGCCCAGCGCGGATCCAAGACATCTGCGCGGAGCGCCAACTTTTCTCGTGTGTGTGTGTGTGTGTGTGTGTGTGTGCCATTTTTTCGTTCTCTGCACTCGTCCTCGCGCGTGCGCGCGCGCTTTCGCGCGCCAGAGTGCACGCGGGCTCTTGCCTGGGCACGCCTCCCGTCAGACTCGGGCGTCGCGATGCCGTCAGGGCGGGCGCCGTTTGCCCCGCCTCGTGCTCCAGGGCTGCCTCGGAGAAGGGATCTGGCCGTATTTGTATGGCTCACTCCTTTCGCGGCACTGCAATCGGTTTCACGATCTCGGTTCTCGGGGCCCCATCGGACGGGGCTGGGACGAGGATGGATCCACCTCGGAGCGTTCCGGAGCTCTCTCAAAGCTTTCCGGAACGTTCTGGGAAGGCCGCGGCGCCCGAGACATCCTCCAGAGCTGCCGGATGGCAGAGATTCCCGACCTGTTCTCCCCCGATGTTATCCTCGCCTTGGCCTTGCCCCCTGGCCTCGTCCTCGATTTTGGCCTCCTCTTCCTGACTTCGTCTGGCGCCCTCGCCCGCAGGCGCCTCGAAATGTGTACATAACTCCCCCTCCCCCACACCTATCGCCCCCACAGTAAGCGACGCCCAAGAAAGCATTGAACTACACGCCGGTCGTTGAAAGTTGCCTCCTGCGGGCGCGTGGCACCCTTGAAGTCCTTGCCCTGACCCACCCCGACGAGGGCCGCGGACCACGGGCGCGAGCGCTTACGTCGGGCCTGTCCCTCTACAGGAGGAAAATTCAAAAATCATAGTCTGGGGCGATGTTTTGCTCATTTTTGTAAGATAAATAAATATATTTTTCGTCCAAAATCCGCCTGTATGGGGACACGCCCGGCCTAATGCTTGCCTCCTGGGTCCCCTGGGTTGGTTTCTCGGGTTTCGATGGTGTCGCTGTGGAACGCGTGACGCTCCCACACCGAAGATCCGTGGACATCCTGGGGTCTCAGGGTTGGGCTTCTCGTGGAAGGTTTCTTGTGGTCGAGCTCCTACCGCGGGCCGGGGAGGCCGCGCGGCCGCGCGCCCGCGGGCGGCGCGCGACGAGGGCCCGAGCGGGCCCGAGCACGGAGCAGGTGGCTCGCCGTCCGCCGCAGCACCCCCACGTGGCAGCGCTCGTTGGCGGCGCGCAGAGGGGGGTAGGGGGAGAGGGGGAGGGGGGAAGGCTTCTGAGAAGGAGGCTGCTTCTTAGAAGGCGCCGGCCTTACATTTGTCGACAAGGCCCGCGCGTTCTAAGAAGCAGGGGTGCTTCTAAGAAGCCTTCCCCCCTCCCCATACCCCCCTGCGCGCGCCGCCAAGCTCGAGCGCGTGGGTACAGTCAGCCCGCACAGCAAGGGTGCGCACCCTGCCCAAGGGGGCCCTTGCGTCCGTGCCTCCTCGGCCCATCCTTGGCCACTTTCCGCTGGCCGCGCCCCGCTCGGAGAGCTTCGAGGTGGCCTTCCTGGGCCCTGGCGCCCTCCGCGCGCATGCTCGTGCTACGGGCCGGCTGCACTTTTGTTGGCGGCGAGGGCCCTCGAAGAGCCGAGCGGGGATCGCCCTGCGAAGAGTGCACGCGCGACGCCGAAGAGCGCACGGGGAGTCTGGGCGGACGTCCGCGCGTGGCCAGGGCCACCTTGGGGCCCTGGGATCCTGGGATGGCAGGGCTCGATCGAGCGAAGCTGTGCTTCGGCGACTTCGTGGGCCGCTTTCGCGCTGCTCTGGTCTCGCGGCAGAGGCAGGGCGAAGGCGGAGCGAGGGACAGCGGAAAAAGCAACCCGAAGACGAGACGCACCTTTGTGCAGCCGGGCGGGAAACGACGAAACGACAGGGAAAGCGGACAGCAACCCGAAGCGGGCCCTGTGGGCTGGTGCGCTGGCCGCCCTGGCCTCGGCCACGAGGGCGGCATACACCCTGCCGCGGCCCCGGAGGGCCCTGGCCGGGCGCAGCGGGGGCGCACGGGGAGCCGCCGGCGCACGCCGGGGCCGCGGGCGAGGCAGCTGGGCCGCCCTGGCCCGCAGCCGCCTCGGCTCGCGAGCGGGGCGCACGCCGCAGTCGGGCTCTCCTCGCCATGGCCGCGCGCGCCCGCGGCCGCGCGGCCGCGCGGCCGTGGCTGCTGGCGTGCCGACCGCGGGCGCTGCTCGCCGCCGCCGGCTGGCGGTGTGCTGCGGGCGGCTCCGCCGCGGCTGCGCGCTGGCCGGCGCCGGCGCGCCCCGGGCGTCGTCCGCTGCCGGGGCCGTGCGCGGCGCCAGGCCGCACGCGGGCGCGGGGCCTCGCGGCGTTGCGGCCGCGGCGGGGCTGGCGGCGGCGAGAGAGCCGTCGCAGCAGTGGGGGGGGCTCACGCCGCAGGGCCCGTATTTCCGCGGGGGGAGGAGGAAGACGATCCTGCGCGATCTGGTTCCGGGCCAGGTGAGCGGCGCCCAAAAAAACGGGGTCGTCTTCGCCGACATTGGCGCGCAAGTGGCCCGCGTAAGGTCGCGCGTAAGGGTCCTCGCTTCAAATGTGGCGTGCCGCGCGGGCGGCCCGCGTAAGCCACCGCGTAAGGTCGCTATGCCATCTCGCGTAAGACCGGTTTCTTATCGTCGCTCAGGTGTGGAGCCTGGAGCAGGTGCAGGGGGTGATCTACGTGCACGTCCCAGTGCGGATGGCGCTCGTGAGGACGTCGGTGGGGCTGGTGGGCTACTCGGCCGTGGCACCCACCGAGGAGATGCTCCAGCTGCTGTCGCGCATCGAGGAGGCTGCTGGCGAGCGGCTGGCCCACCTCATACTCCCGACCACGGCGGCCGAGCACAAGCTCTTCGCAGTGGCGCTAGCGCAGGCGAGGTCCGACCTCGAGTTCTGGATCGTGCCCGGCCAGTTCGCCTTCCCTCTGAACCTGCCGAACGAGCTGCTCGGTTTCCCCATCGGGCGCACGCGGCCGCTGCCCGCGCAATGCTCGGACACCGTCGCCCCGTGGGCCGCCGAGCTGCCCTACAGGGTGCTTGGGCCCTTCCCTTCGAAGGACGGCGTCTCCACGTTCGAAGAACTGTGTGCTTTCCACCCTGCCAGCAAAACGCTGCTGTGCGTCGACTTGGTTGTGAGCGTCCCGAGCGACCCGCCGAGTATCTGGTCCACCTTCGGTACATCCCTCCTCTGTGCCAGCGTCGTGGACATCGGGGCTTGGGGGGGGGGGGGCCTCTTGGAAGCCTCTAGGGGCCTTTGGGGGGGGGGTCTCTTGGGGGCCTGCTGGGGGTCTCTTGTGGGCCTGTTGAGGGCCTGTCTGAGGTCTCGGGGCCGTCGCGGAGGGGAAGCTTTGCGTAAGGGGAGCGGCTGTTGCTCGGTTGTCTCACCTTCTTGAAGCATTATTGGGGGGCATTTTGCCACCCACTTCTGTTGGGGGGGTGCTGAGTTGAAGGCCATTGTTTTGAGCTGAGTTTGAAGCCCTCGTGGGCCGTCTTGGACGCTCCTGAGAGTGGCCAGACGAACACGATTGAGTCAGATAAACGTCCTGATTGTTCGTTGTTCGGTGTCTCTCCGGCTGGCCCCTAGGACTTCAAAGACAGCCCCAAATGCCCCGAAGGCGGCTCTGGGACGGACCTTTGGCAGCATCTTGAGGCTCGGGTCTCTGGAGAGGCCACGCGGCGGCTTCCGAGAGTGCACAGGAGCGCCCTCATGACGATGACGATGACGATGATGATGACGTCATCATCATCCTCATCATCAGCAGCATCAGTAACAGCATCATCATCATAAGCAGCATCATCAGCATCGTGCTCTTCTTAATCATCACCACCATCATCACCATCAGCACCATCACCACCACCACCATCATCATCAGCACCATCATCATCAGCGTCATCAACATCATCAGCATCAGTATCACCATTATCACCAGCATCATCATCACCATCCTCATCATCCTCATCATTACCATCATCAGCATCACCACGATCATCAACAGCATCATCATGATCATCGTCATCATCAGCATACCTACTCATTCTCAGCACCATCACCATCACCATCACCATCACCATCATCATCATCATCATCATCCTCATCACCATCATCATCGTGAGCGTCATCGTCATCGACATCGTCATCGTAATCGAGTCCAGGCTGTGGGGCTCTCAACGAGTCGGACTGAAAGATGCCGCACGCGTGAATCTTCTTCAAAATCGCACGCGCGCTGGGGGGTTCGAGGCGTTGCGTCGTTCTTGTGTCCTCTCTCCCGCAGCTCGTGGGGGCCCTCGGAGGGGTGGGGGGGGCGTACCTTCTTCGAGCGGGTATGAAGGCGTGGCGATGACGATGACGATGACGATGATGATGACGATGATGATGGTGATGAGGATGATGATGATGATGATGATGATGATGATGATGATGATGATGATGATGATGCTGATGCTGATGATGATGATGATGATGATGATGATGATGATGATGATGATGATGATGACGACGACGATGACGATGACGATGACGATGACGATCCATGTCCAACGCCCGCTGGGCTAGCAGGACGTCGGCTCCCCAAGGGTGGCTGTGGGGAGATCCCCGCCGTGCACCTGTGGGGCCGCGCTCGGCGGGCCCCCCTTCACCGAGCCCGCGCCCGAGCCCGCCGTGCCCACGTGCGGGCGGTGCCTTGCCCGCCGTGCCCACCGAGCCCGAGCCCGAGGCACCCCGGCGGGCGCTGCATGTGGACATCGCTCAATGGGCACAGGGACACACAAATGAACAGACACAAATAACAGGATTCCCAATATTTACCCATCTTTTCTTCTGGGTTTTCGTTTTCCCCCCACTTCACATATTTTCCCACATTTTCCTGGGAGTCGACGATTAATTGTGTGGCACACTTGTTCTGGAGGCATCCGGGGGGAGCCAGCCCGGCGGCCAGCACGGGCGACAGGCAGACCCCAACCCAACCCGAAGGCTCAGATTCACCCTCGATTTCCAGTGGGGGGGGGCGGGGAACATCGGAAAAACACATGTGGAACCCTTACCCCCCCCAACCCGAAATTCGGGTCTTCGGGTAGGTATGGGGTGGTCTGGTAGGTAGTCAGACTGTATGTGAGTCGGGCGTGCCCCTCGACAGGAGGAGTCTCCAGAGATTTTCAAAAAGCAGTCGGGGAACGATCTCTTGAGTAGGTTGGACCATTTTTGGGGGGTGCTGCATTTTGTGTGCACATTCTATTTTTCGCCCAAAATCCGCCTGAAGAGGGACACGCCCGACCTCAGTCTACACACTGGTCCATCTCCGACGCCTGCCGAGGTCCCCGGCGCTCGATCCCCCAGGCGGTGGTCATGGATAAATCTAAGGGGCGGGGGCGGTCCCAGGGAGGGTGCCCAAGGGCTTGTGGACTTCTCGCCAATCGATTTGTGGGGATCGAGCCAGGTAAAGCCAGGTAAAAATGGCAGGTAAATCGAGGTACACCCAGGCAAATCCAGGTATACATCGAGATAGATCTGGGCAGTTCCAGGTAAATCCAGAGATCTCCAGGGAAAGTTGGAGCAACTCGCGGCCGCTCCAGCGCGAGTCGAAGGACCGGCTCCCGTCCTCGGCGGGCTTCCGCGATTCGCGAGGCGTCTGCCTGCCATCGCGGTTCGACTTGCCAGACTTCGTGCTTACACATTCGCGGACTGTCGCGCGGTTCCAGAGATTCGAGGCCTACTTGTTGCGGCCTTCGTTTCAACTGCTTGCGGAAAAAGCCCAAAGCCTATTGGTGAGCTACTTCTGGCCTTCTTTGAGCAAGCACATCACAAGCCTTGGCTCTGTTCTCTTTTGCCCCAGAATCGGCGTCACCCCAGCATGCCAATGCTATGAGTGCGTCGTCCCCCCCAGGGGCGACGCGCGCACCGAGAGATCTTACAGTATATTCGCCGTGGCGGGATCTTTCTGGCCACACCGTTCGGAAACGATATACTACAAGATGGGTAGACTATATGTTCGGGTCGAACGCGCGCCTCCAAGAAGGACAGATACTCTTAGTATGTCTCTGTGCGTCCCACAGAGCAGCCCCTCACTCCTGTCCGGGTCGGCGTGGTTACGGCCAGTGCCACCGACCTTGAAGGGGGACGATGACGACGACAACGGTGATGGCGACGACGCGGACGCGCTGGAGCCGAAAGGTTCTCCCAGGGAGGGGTACTTACTCTTTCCCTCTCGCTCAGGGGGGGTGGTCACAACCCCCGGGGACTCCCCTTCCCGCTATGCTCTCTCCCAGAACCCCCCCCCCCGGCGGGGGACCCCGCCCCCCGGCGGGGGAGGCTTCCGGTCGACTCGACTACGATGCTGCTCGACCCCCTCTGGCTGGAACGTTTGAGGAGGAGCGGCGACGACGACGACGACGACGACGACGACGACGACAACAAAAACGGTCCTAGAATAGTCCCTCACGCATGTTCGGGTCGGCAGGGCAGCAGTCAATATCTGAGGGCTCTAGAGGCCGTGCCGGCGGCACGGCGCCGGATCCTGCTGGCCAACGACCCCCGCGCGCTCTGGTGGCACGCGCGCACGGTCGGCACGGACGGCACGGCCAACGCGCAGTCCGACGCGGCGTACCGGGAGGAGAGGGAGCGGGAGGGCTGGCAGAAGATCGCGCTCTTCGCCCTCTATTTCCAGAGTGGCGCGCTCGACGTAGCCAACGAGCCAGACGGCTCGCTGGCAGGGGCGTCAGCGTTCTTCTCGACCGCGTTTCCGTCTGGCGTGAGCGACGCCACGAAGGAGCTCGGGTGGGGGTCGTTCTATCCCTTCACCTGGAAGCCCAGCTGGCGCGCGAGCTTCGACGCCCTCCGCTGCGACGGCGCCCTGCTGGTGCCCCCCATCCTCGCCGTGCTGATCCTGAACCGGCGCACGCGGGACGTTCTCGACTTCGTCGACGATGTGTGCGAGAGTTTTCCGTTTGAGCGCGTCGTGCCCTGCCATCTTGTTGCGCTGCCGCGCACGTCCGCCACCGCGCCTGTGGGATGGGAGGCTCTGGGGGTGTTCGGTACCCCCTGGGAGAGGGTTCTATGGGGGGTCGATGATCCTCAGAACGTGTGTTAATAAGCGCAGAGTCTGATCCTCAGGACGTGTGTTAATGAGCCCAGAGTGTGTCTACCCCGTTCGGCTCCACTGACAGCACGTCGCCTTCGTCGCATTTGGACGAGCACACGTTGGCGCTAACGTCTGAGGATGTCGAGGGGCGTTCCAGAAAGGGGCTCGCCTTCGAGGGATCGAGAATTCGACATCTCCTCCTCGGCGGAAGGCTGGCGGAAGCCGGCGGCAGGAAGGCTGGGGGGGTACGCTTGCGGAATCAAATGTTCGCCCCTCTGGAGATGCCCCAACTCGTCTGGCCTCGGAGATTTCAGAGTCGGCCAAGGGCACGCCCCACCGCGTGTGCGAAGCCGAGGAGAGAAAGAGAGAGAGAGAGAGGGAGGGAGGGAGGGAGGGAGGGAGAGAGAGAGAGAGAGAGAGAGAGAGAGGCGCCTGAGCTGACCACGCGCGCACGCACCAGCCGATGTACGGCGCGCTGGCGGACTTCAGCGCGCCCGTGGACGCCGCGGAGGGCGACCTGCGCGACGCCTTCTCCTTCCTGCGGGACGGTGGCGGCGACGCACCGCCGTGGGCGCGGTGGCCCCCCTGGCGGCGGCGCCGGCTCGGAGAGCAGCCGCCCGCCGACCTGGCGTTCCTGCGCGGCTTCGAGCGGCAGCTGGTGGACCTGGGCAGCATCTTCCCTGCTGCGCCGAAGGCACCCAGATAGCGCCGAAGCGAGGCCTTTGCTGTGCGGTGCCAGCTCCTCTTGGGCCTCCAAGCGAGCAGAGGCATCCGAGGACCTCCAGCGTCCTCCAGAGGCCTCCAGGGATGCGTTATACATGGGGCCTCGCGAGAGCGGAGGCATCCTGGAGCTTCCAGAGACTTGTGGGCGTATCGAGCGCAGTCCTTGTTGGTTTTTGGGAGGTTACCCATCGAGCGTACATATCTCTTGCTCCTATACGCCCAACCCTCCTTACCGTCTTTGCATGACCACTCTGCCCCGGCCTCTGCTCCCCCCTCCGAAGAACGGTAGAACATAAGCGTTTCCGTCACCAGGGGCGCGTGTCCCCAGCCGGCTGGGAAGGTTCTGCCCCGAGGTGCCATCGTAGGACGTATGATTGGTCCAGCCGCCCTGGGACAGGCATACCCGACGGCGAAACTATTTGTTTTGTACAGCTCATCGCCTGTTAGTGATCGTCTTCTTGTTCACTGTTTTGCCGATCGGATCCGCGCGGGTCCTCGCACCCACCCCATGGAGTAGATCTTGGCTGGTTTGGGCGTCTGTGTCATGTAGGTGGGGTCTCTCCCACAGGACGCACTGTTGCGAGCAGTCGCATGGAGCAGAGGTCCAGAGCCAGACCCCCCCCCCCTCCCTCCCCCTCCCGCCCAGTGCCGAAGCGAAGGCCGAATAGAGAAACGCTCACTCCTCCCTGTTCGCCCCCCCCCCCCCCCGCGCCCCCCCCTGACCCGTGCTCCCTCTCCGCCGCCTCCCCGCCCGAAGCCTGTGGCCTCCCTGCCCCCCCTGCTCTTCGTCTGGCCTGCTCCTTGGGGCAGTCGGCCGACCTGTCGGCCTCGCGCCGAGGGGGGCACAGGGAAGCCCCGGGCCAAGGCACGCCCTGCTTGCCTCCAGGGCGTTCTGGGTGTCCTGGGATTCGACGGTTTGGCCATGGAGAGCGTGACGCTCCCACACCAAAAGTCAGTGGACGTCCTGGGGTCTCAGGGTTGGGTTTCTTCTTGTGGGAGGTTTCTTGTGGTCGAGCTCCTACTGTAATTAGGGGGAGGGGGGAAGGCCTCTTAGAAGGAGGCTGCTCCTCAGAAGGCGCAGGCCTTCGTTACTGATGCAAGGCCAGCGCCTTCCGAGGAGCAGCCCCCTTGCAAGCAGCCTTCCCCCCCCCCCTCCCCTCTGCCCCCCCCCCGTGCGTGCCGCCGGGATTGGGGTCCTCGCCCGCGCCAGCCCCGAAGCAGCCGTGGCCGCTGCGGCTCCAGCCGCCGCCGGCGGCGGCCCCCGGGCGCGGCCTCCCGGCCGCGCCCCGCCTCCGCGCCGAGGCCGCCCGCCGACGGCCGCATGCGGCGCGGGCCGCCCCCGCCCGCGCGGCATGGCGGGCAGCCCGTGCAGGGCGGCGCTCCGCGCCCGCCGCCCCCGCGCAGTGGCCGCGGGCGGCGCGGCAGGGCCGGGGCGCGCCCGCCGCGCCGGCGGAGTGGCCGCAAGCGGCGGGCTCGCGCCTCGCGTCCCGCGGCGCGCGGCGAGCGCTGGCTCGCGGGCGAGGCGCGGCGGCGGCGGCGGCGGCGGTGGCGTCGGCGGCGGCGGCGGCACGGACGGCGGCGGACGACGGCGGCGAGGCGGCGGCGGCGACGACGACGACGATGACGGCAGCGACGGCGATTCTGGCTGCCGGCGGCGGGGCTGACGACGACGAATACCGACGGCGACGACGACGAAGACGACGACGAGACGATTCCGACGGCTGGCGACGATTACGACGGCGATGACGACATCGGAGACCGCGATGATGGCGAAGCAGGCCGGCAGAATACCCAGCACCCGATCCTGGACCTGGTCAGGGACCCCAAGATCTCCGAGGAGGATCTCGACGGTTACGTGTCGTTCCTGGACGCTGGAGGCCACCTGCAGGAGAGCGACGATTTCCAGAGAATCATCAGGCAGTACGTGTCGAAGCAGAGGTGGTCCGATGCGATCTACTGGCTGTCCGAGATGCTCAGGCTCGCGCTGCAGCCGAAGGCGAATCTCCTCAGCTCTTGCGTGCGCTCCTGTGACGCGGCAGGGCAGTGGGAGCACGCCCTGGCGATGGAGGACGAGATGACAAGGCCCGCGGCGCGTCGAATGGGGCAGGTCGAGGGAGGGCCTTCCGAGAAGGCAGGGGCCGTACAACAGCATGTCTGTATTCCGAGAAGCCTAAGAAGCAGGCTGCTCACTCATTCCGCACCTCGACCCAACTCCACGGGCCCCCAGACCGCTCCCGGGGGGTCCTCCTCGCCACATGTCCGAGCTGCGCCCAGCTGCTGCGACGAGTCGACCAACAAACAAACGACCCACCCCACCTCCGCCCCTCCACGCTGCGCCACGGCTCATCGGGGGCCGCAGCGTCTACCACGCAAGAACCCACGCCGGAGTTCCTGGTAGTTTCTAGGCCTCCCAGATGGGGCCCGAGTAGATAGGGGTCGGAGGTTCGCGCCGCATCGCCGATGCATCGACGATGCGGCTCGATGCGGAGCCCGATTTGCTTCACGCCTACGTCGCCGATGCATCGCCAGCGTCGCTGGTGCATCGGCGATGCATTGGCGATGCGGTGCGATCCTCCAACCCCATCTACTCCAACCCCATCTAGGAGGCCTCTCTCTATACATACACATTTATATATATATGTATATATATGTGTGTGTGACACCAGAAAAACAAAAAAACAATCAGTGGATGGTTTTCGCTGAGGAGATCGACCGGGGGCCCGGGAGCCCGGGAACCCAGAGCCCACCGAAATCGGCCCGGAACCAATAACCGGGACAACCCGGGCACCCGGAACCGGCAACCGGGGAACCCAGCTTGCCACCAACATCGGCGGGAAGCTCTCGCCAAATCCTTCAACTTCCGCTACATGGACCCCATCGAGGCCTCCGCGGCGAGGAGGAGCGGGCCCTGCGGAGGCAGGGCCGGGGAGGGGGAGAGCTCTGGAGCGTGGCCGCCGAGGCCAGGGCCAGGGCATCCGCAAGCAGTGCAGGCTCGGATTGGGGAGTCTATATACAGCGGGGCCATCGGAGCGGAAGGCCGACGGCCTCGGCGTGCCGCCCGCCGCGGGCGGCGCGAGCGCAAGGGGCGGGCGCGAGAGAGAGAGGGGGGCGGCCTCCGCAGACGGCTGGCGGCTCCTCCTCCTCCTCCTCCTCCTCCTCCTCCGCCTCCTCCTCCTCCTCCTGTGACGGCTGCCTGGGCTCGGCTGCCTCGACACGCCCGTTTCGATGCGCAGCACGTGCCGTGCTCAAAACGTCCGTGCCAATACGTTGCGTGTTGGCCTCGACGTGTTGGCCAACGTCTGTGCGAACGTACCGCGTCAGACCTGCGTTTTCAGACTGCGTGTTGAGCTCCGAATCAGTACGCTGCGTGTTGCGTGTTGCGTATCGGGGCAGCCAAGTCCCTGGACGCCCCCGGGGGGAGCGAGCTAATTGAGACCCCCCCTGCCCTGCAAGAAGCAGCTCCGCCCTCTCCGCGGGCCGCCCCCCCCGCGCCGCCCCCTTGCCGCGCGCCGCCCGGCCAGGACCGGCGTGGGGCTGGAGGACACGTACGTGCCCACGACCTGCTGGCATGCGCCCCCGCAGGACCCAGGCGATCGCCAAACACGGATCAAGGTCGCAGGCCTAGAGGTTGACACCAACACCAATATCGGCGGTGTTCCTCCACCGAGGGAAGAAGATGCCGATCTCGGTGATGGTGGTAATATTCTGGCTTCCAAGGTGGCCGAAATATTACCACCAACACCGAGATCTAGGATCACCTCCCTCCTGTGGAGGCAGCCCTCTGTCTTGGTGTTGGTGCCCATTTCCAGGCCTCCCACAAGGGGGCGTGGATCAGCGACGGGCCCCGCTTCCGTGGGCCATCGCGGCTCCCCGCCGCCGAGCGAGGCGGCACCGGCCGCACGTTGGGGTGGGCACCTCCCCCGATCCGCGGACCTGGCGGCCGCGCGCCGGATCCATGCATCGCTGATCCACGGCTGCGCTCGACCCCGCAGGACCCCAGCGCCGACATGGAGGCCTGGAAGAGTGCCGGCGATTGGCCCGCGGTGCTGGCGCTGCTGGAGGGGCTGCGGCGGAGAGGTGACGTCGTCCTCGGCACGCGCGAGTGCGGCGCCGCCGCGTGGGCCTGCAAGAACGGAGACAGGCGGCGGCGTGCGGAGGCTAATTATACCAAGAGTGAAAACACACAGACACAAGCAATCGTCGCTACCCCAGAAAATCTGGGAGCATGTGTGGGAAGTGTGGTGAGGCGATGATCCAACACAAGCACACCTCAGGAAGCCCCAAACAATGGATGATTTGAAAATGGGGACTCTGGATTTTGAGATCGACTGTGAGATCGATAATGAGATCGATAGTATCATCGATAGTGAGGACGATTGTAAGGTCGATCGTGAGACCGAAAGTGCAATCGATTCAATGAGATCGATATTGAGGTCTATCGCGGGATCGTTCATGCGATCTCTGGTGAGATCGCTTGTGATCTTGATAGTGAGATCGATTGTGAGATCGAGGGTGAGATCGATCGAGAAGTCGGTAATGAGATCGATGGTGAGACTGATCGATAAGAAGATCGACCAGGAACCCGGGAACCCGGGAACCTCGACGCCCTCCGAAATCGGCCTGGAACCCGGAACCGGGAACCCGGGAACCGAGAACCGGGAACCGGGGAACCCAGGAACCCAGCTTGCCACCAAAATTGTCGGGGAACTTTCGCCAAATCCTTCAATCTCCGCTAGGACCCTTTCAGTGCAAGCACTGATTGGGGATATATATATATATATATACATATATATATATATGTATATATATATATATATATATATATATATGTGGAAATCTATTGGGAATCCTTGGGCCCCTTTGAGGCTCCTTTGAAGCTAGGAGGATCGAGAACCGAGCTTGTTCTTGCGTCTGCTGTTTTCGTTGGTCGGGGCGGTCCCAGGATGCAGGGGGCCTCAAGGGTTCCGCGGAGGCCCCGACCTCCGGCGCACTGCTCGCCATCGCTCGGACGTGTGCATTTTTTCCTTCGGCGAGGACCATCGAGGAGCATCCTGGATCATTTGGCGACGAAAAAACACGGACGAAACCAATAAAAAAAAGGAAATGGACGTCCGAGCGATGTCGGAGGGCACCAGCTATACACCTGCACCGATCCTGGCCAGTCCGATCATAGGCACGGGATCGATGTAGGTGCATTCTGCCGACGGCAGGGGGGCGTACCTGAAGGCCCTCGGCCTTACTAATTGTTAGCAGCACATGTAAGTAGGTTATAAGTAAGTTGCAACTAGGTTGCAAGTAAGTTATAACCATTAGTAATGTTACTAAGTCGGCTAACTCGGGCGGTGCATTTGGAGGTAGATAGCTTGAGTTAGCGAAGTTGCTAACTTCGCTAACTTTTACATGCTTACTTGAAAACAGAGCTGCTGCATCGGGTTTTCCTTGGATGTTGCCTCCAGAAACGCATGCATGTGTTTGGATTTTCGGGATCACGCATATCGGAAATCATGATCCAGACTTGCGTGCGAACGCATTCAGAATATTGTATCGAGCGTTACAAGAATGTTGTGCATTGCAAATGCAACATATCATTTCGAATTCGCAACCCTCTGTTGCACATGTTTTTGAATGTCACTAGAGTTTGGGCTCCAGCCGTTTGGGCGAGGATTGCTGCTGGCGCTTGTGGCGTCCTCCTGCACGCGGCGTGATGAACGCCTCCCGTGAACAGCAGATCGCGGAGGTCCGCCCCAAGATGATGGCCATCAAGGACATGTACTTGCATCCTGATGCAGCGGTGGTCTCATTACTTGAAGACGTATGCAGCATTGCAAGAGGCATAGACTGCCTGAGGGTAGAAAAAATACACTCGAAGTATATGATGGTGTGCACAGAGAATCGTTACGGAGATGGAATCATTCCGAGCGAGGTTATGGATTTGATTTCCAAGATCTTCAAAAATGGATTCAAGAACTCAGCCCTCCAGAATCCAGCTTGCATGGAACTTCCACCAGTGGGCACGCCTGAGTACAATACAATCAAGAACTTCAATTTCAAAATAATGGAGGACTCAGCGGGCCAGCTGCCGCAGTATGATTGCGATGCAAAGTTCGCATCCTATACGTGCGGCCACACATCCATGGGTTTGCGTTGCATCAACGCAGGGGTTCCAGTACCCACGGTCATGCCAGAGCGTTTCGACAGAATCTCGCACCAAGGGAAATTGTCACTGACGAGGTTACGGGAGGTTCAACCAGACTACGCTAAGGCGTGTGACGAAGGAATTGAGTGGAAGGTCTTTCGGTACGAGTTCGTGAAGGAGTTCCCGTGGATTAGTAATCTTGCTCAGGAGGCTGGCAATGCAGGCCAACAAATTGCCAGATGCGAATCTCGCATGAGTCTCATGTACAAGATCGCAGCAATTGCCAACCGACACCACACGGGTGGCACCATGATCGATTGGGATAGTGTGATCCGCGAGGCGACTCGCGCAGGCTCTCTCTTTCCTGGGGAGATCGATGGCTTAGTAAAATATGTGAAGGAGTTGTCTGGCGGCCTCGGCAACCCGATCTTTCTGAACGAGCTTCGCGACTTCTCGCGGCAGCTGACCTCCCAGTGCGTGGTCACGGGTTCAATGGCGAAGTCTCTCGCCGAGGTGCAGATCAAGCATGAGGGGTCCGCTGCGACATTCAAGCTCGCATGCATGAAGGCGATGACATGTGCGACGGGTAAGTTCGCGAGGGATGGCCATCAGATGCTTTTGAAGCCAGGCGACGTGACCGCCTTGTCGATCGATAAGAAGTCTACGATTGTAATGGTGGCCGATGAATTTCTTCAGAAAGTGCGACAGATCGCATGCGGTGAGGGCATCACGGCAGACACGGTCGCCTACGGCACCATCGTGGGATTGACTGACGTTCGCGTAGTTCAATTCGTGTTCAACAAGCCCGATGAGCGCTTAGGCACTTGCAAGACGCTGAATGACATCGGGGTCAGCTTCACCACTGCGTTGGCAACGCACGTTGGCAAAGCAGTTGCTAGCCCATGGAAGCAGATCGGTCGCGAGGGCGCATCCAAAGCCGTGACAGGGCAGGCGCGTAGCTCAGATGTGAAAGAGTACACCGCTTCGGGCAAGTGGTCGAACCAAGTGGACAAGCTCAGTGACAAGGGGTTTGAGGTTGGCGCCAAAGTCGCCTTGGCGAGCGACACCTTGGGTGAGAACATTTACGAGCTGATCTCCATCGACGCTGCGACTGGCGTGAAGTTGAAGCTTCAGGCCACGGGCAGTGCGACATGCCACCCCATCGACGACTTCTTACGTGGCAAGTTCGTCGTGTCCACGATTATGAAGGACAGTCTTGCGACCTCGTCGCAATGCATGTGGAATGCATATACACCCCCACACCTTTGAATTCTCGTTCGTCGTTCCCTCATCTCATTTGGCTCTGCGTCGTCATGTCTCATCTTTTTTTTTCCCGCTGCTCCCCCATAGAGGAAACGATCGACAAGTTCGCTGATCATGGCCCCCTCAAGTCTGTCGATTACCAGTGGGGTATCGAGGAGGCCAAAATCAGGCTGGCCTTGGATGATGTATACAGCCAGAACGGCAACTGTCTCAAGTACTTGAGTGGCGTGATTACGCCTGTTAAGCTTCGTGCCCTCACCGTAACGCGTTCGTTTGAGGCTGAAGAGCTGGTGCTTGTCCCACTCTCTTCGGCAATCTACTTGAAGAAGCAGACTGATATAGTTCAGTGTGGGCATGTGTTCATGAAGACATACAAGGACCCCAAGGGATTGACGTTCAATATCGTGTTGGCCCCCAGTGGTGGCATCAAGATGCCTAAGGCTGAGACGAACACTGGCGTTGGAGGGCTGAAGCAGGCACCGTCTTCGCTCGTCATCCCCTTCTGGCTCGTACAGGATTCAGGTGAGCACGGCACCCCCAACATGAAGCTCAAGACCGTCAAGTCTACAGCTGTCCCATCAGTGCATGTACCAATTTTGACAAACAAGTGCGCCATCAACAAGGGCGATGTCCTTAGCGCCCAGCTGGCATCGCTCATGCCCAAGCGCAAGGTAGACGATGTGCCTGCTGCGCCCGCGGCTAAGAAGGCCAGGAAGCGATGAGGCTCGCGTGTTGGCAGCATCGGTTGCACATACCATGTGTCGTGGGGGGTGTTTATGAAATGTATGAAAGCATCGTCGGTATCGTTCCTCTGCAATCGTTGCATCATTGCGTCAACACGCATCGGACTCGTCTGCAATTGTCCATTGCATCGGCCCGCAGGCGTTTGGCTGTGTCCAAGCGAGTGCACGCTGCATCTGCGCACGCACTGCAGCTGCAGATGGCAGTGAGCGTGCAGCTCCGCACGGTCATCGAGGGGGGCGGCCTTAAGGATCGCGAGCCATGGGTCCCGAGGGCGGTGATGCATACGGCAGGGGGGCTCTTCGTGGAGCTGTCGAGAGCGGATAGGCAGCTGCAAAAATTTATATCTGTGCCCAACCCCGCCAAGAGCCAATCGCCTCTGGCGACAAATTCGTTTTTCGATCAGATCTTGAAGATGCGCAACGCCGCTTGCACCGAGGCCATTTGGGACCACTTGAAGCAGGCCGACCCATTGCTTCAGCAAGATTGCGACAGGGCCAGCGTCATTAAGAACAATAGGAGTTCTCTGGATATGTCGCAATCGTGGACGCTTCGCGCATTCCCACCAGGGGAGGAGGAAGGAGAGGAGGAGGATGATACATTGGATGATGAGGTGGAGTGGCGGGGGAGGGGGGCGAGGAGGAGGGGCTGAAACAGAGGGGGATGGTGGAGGAGAAATGGGAGGAGGGAAAGGGGGAGGAGGACGGAGCATAAGGATGACAAAAAAAGGATGAGGAGGAGGAATAGGAGATGCCTTAATTCGCTTGCGTGAATAGGCCGCTCTTGGACCACTCTTGGATCGATCTCTTGACCTTGAGACTTCTTGGGCAATCTTGGATCGCGTGATATCTTGGACAAGCTTGGGCAATCTTGGGTCGCGTGATATCCATGCCTGCATGTTGAGGCATCGCGTGATATTGGGACATATCCGTGGACATCTTGAAGTATATATGAGCCCTTCTTGGAACCACCGTCCAGGCAAACCACTCCCCCAAGGGGGT